AAAGGGCAACTTGAACTCAAGCCTAAGGTATTGCCAGCAAAGTTGAGTGGCTTCTGGGAAGCAAAATATTTTTGGGCAGATGCTAAAGCCAGATTGACTGGGATAACAAGGAAGAGGTAGAACATTGCGTCTGGGGTGATGTTGGGCACTGACTAGGACTACTGAACCCCTCAGATGCCTCCATAAAGCCTCTTCAATTTGACGTCTGTAGATGACCGCACTCGAGGCGATCAACAGGATCCCCGCCAAGGTACACAACCCGGGGGAAGTGCGTTCGGCGATGTCAGGCGAAAGCAAACCACCGTGATACGCCTAACCAAGTGGGACTCGTAGAATGGAATCATGCATGCGTATAGAACTCGAATTCTATCCACTAGGGGGATTGCCTTGATGGACTGTCCATTCATCCGACCAATTGGAGGAAACTTGATTCCTCCCATCACCCACGTTCGACATCGCCGCACCTTGTCCGGGTCCTTGCCCAAAGACCATGTGGTGTGTTTGAGACGCCAAATTCGGGTTGATACCGAACATTGAAGCAAATCGCGGGTTGATGTGCGGCTGAACGTACGGTTGGAAGTTCGAAGCGTTTGGGCTATAAGAGGCCTGAAGACCCCACGACGCTGACGGATCCGATGGCGGCGGGGGAGGATAGCTAAATTGAGGTGACATCGAAGGTTCATAATATGGTTGTGTTGGCCATGGGGCTACTGGGGAAGACGGGGAAGAAGAGGATAAATCTGGGGAAACGTTGTAAGGCCCAGGTCTGGGATGGCTGCGTCCGAAATCCCCTCTTCCTCTTCTTGGTGCATCACCGCGCCCACGTCCCCTTCCACGTCCCCTTTGAGGCCGTCCATCGCGCCTGTCTGCACCCCGATTCGAAGGGCGTTGGGGGCGAAACCTCGATTCGTCTGGACCAATGTTGCGTGATGGAGATGTCGGTTGATGTGATGTGCTGGGGCTCGGCGCAGGAGGTGGTATATAATCGTCGGCGTAAGGATCGTCGTCGTATGGCATGGGAGGAGGTCGGGGAGGGGCTTCGGTGAAATCGATGTCATAGGGTGATTTCTCGGCATACGCGTCGCCACTCATGTATCTCAGATCTTGGTCTCGCATTTGCGATGGGCCTGGCGTTGAATGTCTTGACGATGCAACAGACCCAGCACGACTGTCACTACCCCATCTACAATTCCCCGAATAAATAAGAATAGGGCAACTAACGAAGCGCGAAGCAGGACGTACTTTCTCTTTCGACGACTTTTCGCAGCAGCTTCAGCCTCGTCATCGGAGTATTCTACTTCATGGTCGGCGGGTTCCTCATCAAATAGGTTGCTCGCGTCGCTCCCCTTGAGATGCTGGATGTCTCGTACAAACACGAATTTACTGCGCGAGGGTACATGGAAGACCTCTCGCCCTGTCTTGACCTTTTCGTGGTCTAGAGGATATTTTTGGTTGAATTTCACCTGATAAAATGGCTGAGAGGTGGGACCGAAAGTCTCGTAAACCTATTGTCCACGAGAAAGGTGAGAAAGGCACCGAGGCAGAAGACCAAGCAACGCACATATCCCAGAACCTTCCTATCTTCAAAGACCAGCAACGTATCCGAATCCAACGCGCTTTCTGAGCCCCTGTTTGCGTTCGCAGATGCTTCGCCTTTGACGATGACGGTCTTGTTATCGAGAATCGCCATGACCTCGCCCACTTTCTCCATGCTTTCGTGTACGCCTATCTCTTCTGCCTCTGGAATACTGATATCTGCATCCACAATTTCGTTTTTGGTCTGAGGGACAGCGCCAGGGGCAAGTGCACCATCGTTCTCTTCGTCATCTTCCACATCGAGGTCGGCTTCTTTCTTGGGTTTTCCTTTCTGAGCAGGGGCATCTCCAGTATCTGATTCTGACTCCGAGTCAACGCTGGATTCAGAGTCGGAGGAGGGGACAGAACTAAGAGCAAGTTATGAGCTTGCGAAAGTGTTGAATAGTAGCATGCACGTACGCACCTCTTTCCATCCTCCGCGTCGTCGTCTACGTTCAGCAGGTCAGACACTACTTCGATCTCCTCTGCATCGTCCTTCTCAGCCGAATCCTCAACACGGTCATCCTCGTCTGACGAAGACGAGATATCATCATCCTCAACAACAGTTTGTTTCTTGAGTTGTGGTTGGGGGGCTGTAGCAACGAGCTGATCTGCAACGAGGTCCTGAATCAGAAGCAGATCTTGGGGCGTGGTGGTCGGGGCCTTGAACTGGCTGGAATCCATATCCATGATCGCCGCAAATGTAAAGCGCGAAGAATATTCCTCCCAAATTTTTTGATCGGTCCGCATTACGTAACGCGACATAGGGTCCTTTTCCGAGTCGTCGCGTTCTTCCGTTGTCCACTTCCACCAAAAAACTGACTTGGCCATGCTGTCCTTCAACGCAACCCGCTTCCAGCACCGCGCATTCAATTCTTTGACCTCTGGTTATCTCTACCGGGCGTACTCGTCCTCCGGAAAAGCCCCGTCCACCGCAAAACTCGTCGCCGAGCTTCGCAAACGCACAGAAGTCTCAATATCCAAAGCACGAGACGCGCTCGCTGCGACCAACAACGACGTCGAGGCTGCCCTCGAATGGATACACGAGGACCTCGCTTCTTCCGGAGCCAAGAAGGCAGCAAAGGTTGCTGATCGCGCCACGTCCCAGGGGGTAATATGCACCTCAGTGCTGTCGGATGGCAGTCCAAAACACCCCGGCGATGGACGGCCAACGGGGATATTAACTGCGGCCATGGTCGAGCTGAACTGCGAGACGGATTTCGTGGCGCGGAATCAGCTATTCTGCAAGTTGGCCGCGGACATTGCGCACTCGGCGACGTTCGTGGATGATGGTACCAAAGGGCTGTTCCGCAAGCTGGACCCGGATTTTATACGGAGTGCACCCCTCATATCCTCCACAGCGAACAAGCCGTACTTGGATTCCAAACCAATTTCTGTCGCGGAGGCTATCCGCGACACCATTGCCAAGGTCGGAGAGAATATCTCCTTGCGACGCGTCGTCACCGTCGGACAGAGCGCCGTCCTACATGAAGAGCCTTCCATCGGCCTTCGACTCGCATCGTACACCCACGGCGCAGCCAATCCGGAGTTTCCGACCCAAGGTCGAATAGGTGCACTAGCCATGCTGGCGTTGCAGTCTCCCAAATTACCCGAGTTCCTCAAGAAGCCGGAATTCCTCGACGAGTTGGCTGTACTAGAGCGTTCAATAGCGAAGCAGATCGTCGGATTCCCCACTCTGTCAGTGAAAAAGGGAGAGGACGATGAGACGGTGTTATACAAGCAACCGTTTATGATGCTGCGAGGGGAATACAGCAGTCTACCTGTGGAACAAGCCTTGCGTGCGTGGGCAGCGTCACAAGGCCTTATATCAGACCCGGAGACTAGTGGTGTGGAAGTACTGGAGTTCTTCAAATGGACTGTTGGCGATGCATAAGTGATTTTCTTCCTAGACGATGCTTTGCTTGATTTAATGACCCCACTTCACAAGATACCACATGTACATGTACAGGTTATGCAAATACATGATGGACAGTATACATCTAGACGGAATCTGAAGACAAGATATTGCGGGGCGTGCAGTGGGAAGCTACTGAACCTTGAGTACGCGTTTCACGTATGGGAGCCCATACTCATAGGCTATGATGTAGTTGCGGTGGTCGTCTTTCATGCATAGGATCCTATCCAAAGGTTAGTTGCGAAATTATGACGATTTGCGCGAAACGAACAAATCTACGTCGCAAAGCGTCAGTAAGTGGTATATGCGTTACAGAAAGAGCAAACGTACATTGAATTCCAATGGATTTGTAGTGAGTGCCCAAGCCCTAATGCATGTTGAACATTTATAAGATGGACAGAGTTGAATAGCACATACGGTCAAGACGTGCCACCAGGAATGACCTATAAAATCGTGGCGTAAGCCCATCAACACAGAAGTACGACAGGAAGCAATCCACCTTCTAGCAAGAAAGCAACAGGCCAACCCATAGAAACCTTCCAGCTCGTGAGTTTACCACAGAAGATGTTATCTAGATTCCAGATCAAGAACCCGGTCGCGAACGATAGAACACCGGTTGTGAAGAGACGCGTTATTTGAGACTTTTTGTGATCGGGTATGCGTGCTTTTGCCTGGGGTGATCGAAGGCAGGTCGTGACGCGTACGATGACGAGAACGAGGATGCTGGCGAAGACGACTTGGTGGTACACGGGGTTCCGGTACAAGTAACTGGATACAATGTAAGTGGACTATCGGCGACTATTGCTGGGTACTCACTAGCTCCAGGTGAATAGTACATCAAAAGATATGAGCGCTGCAACGGAGAGCGTGGATCGGCGGGAAGTGGTGTCGAACCCGGGTGCGCTGTCCAACAACAAATACAAGGTAAAGCTTGCGACATAGACCATAGGCAGTTCATCTGCTAATTGTGCTTCATAGAGGAGCGTAGCATGGAATGCAAAGCTCCCGATGCCCACCAGGCCGAATCCCTGGATGCTCACCGTCAGTAACCGGGTTCGTACACGAGTCAATGGCGCCTACTCACTGCGCAGCCGAGAAGAAACCTCTCTGGTAGCGATTCCCTCCATACTGCGACACTCCCGAACAGCGCGAGCCATATGGTGAATAAATTGGAGAAGGTATTGGCGACCTCCGCAATGTAATAGGAGAACTGGTAATTGGCCTGGCAGTGCCAAGCAAGCGGGGCCGGAGCGCACGTGAGTGAACGATCTCTCAATTTGTGAATGAACATTGGACTGACCTCGCACCAGTCCAGCGTTGCGGTGACTGGCCCCCACCAACCGTTCAGAGGCAAAACTTGCGACTGTTCCATTCGGAGAGAATCGACTTGAGAGTTCGGGAGAGTTGTAATCCGCCAGGTGCGGCTCATCTTGTGAATATATATATCAGCAGCAATTATGTAATGCGCTATGTCAGCTGCCATATGCTGAATTATCCACATTGTCAGTAAGACTCGATAGCTAAGTGGTTATAGCATGCGATTGCAGCGAGCAGCTCATCGCAGGGTCCCGTGTTCAAATCACGGTCGGGTCTGCTTTTTTGCTTCCTTCTTTCTTACCGTGAGAACGTTTGGTCATTTGCTGCTGAGTTAGCACACGCGCAAGTACTCGGCGCGTCTTCACGGTTCTTTCATGCGATCCACCACCAGCTCACTCATACGCCACCTGCCCCGCTCGAAGCATGGCATTTCCACACGAAACCTCGCTGTAGAGGCCGTGCAGCCAGATGTCAAATACACGACGCTTCCCAATAAAATACGAGTAGCGACAGAAACAACCCCGGGTCACTTCTCGTCGGTCGGTCTCTATGTCGACGCTGGGACACGCTATGAGACACCGTCGACGTCGGGAGTCAGTCATTTCATTGACAGAATGGCTTTCAAGGTGCGTGATGGTATCTAGAGTATCTTCAAAAGCTCACAAGGACTGACAGACAACGGAAACTCGGTCAGAAGAAGAAATGTTCACTGCCATCCACTCGCTCGGCGGACAGATCATGTGTACATCCTCACGGGAGGCCATAATGTACCAATCTTCTCACTTCAATTCCGCAACACCCCAAGCCCTCTCTCTCATCGCTGACACCGTTCTAAACCCTGCTTTCCTCGAGGACGAGCTGCTCTCCCAGCGGGACGCCGCACGGTACGAAATTCGCGAAATTAAAGCCAAACCCGAAATGATTATCCCCGAAATACTCCACGAAGTCGCGTACAATCATACGGGTCTGGGGAACCCGATGTTATGCCCTGAGGATAGAATTGACTTGATTGACCGAAATCTACTGCTCGGGGCGATGAAAGCTTGGTTCAGGCCGGAGAGAATGGTCATAGCAGGCTCGGGCGTACAGCACGAGGAGCTGGTCGAACTCGTCGACAAATACTTTTCTTCGTTAAAGCCTTCCACCGCTCACACGTCTTCGCAACCTCGCCAGAATACCCCGCCTCCCCATCTACTAAACTCCTCGGCGCCCTCGCCGTCTAAATTTACCCGTGCTGCATCTTATCTCTTCCCCACCTCCATCCCCGCTGCATCTGATCCTCCTTCCCTTCTCACGAAATCATCGTACACTGGCGGCCACAAATACATACGGGATACTTCAGCCGAGTTCAACCACCTTTATATCGGTTTCGAGGGCGTCGGCATCCACGACGAAGACATCTACGCTCTCGCAACTATGCAAGTCCTCCTCGGGGGCGGAGGCAGTTTCTCTGCTGGTGGCCCAGGAAAAGGCATGTACTCCCGACTCTACACCCACATCCTCAATCATTTCCCGCAAATCGACCACTGTGCTTCTTTCCACCACATCTACACCGACTCCTCGTTATTCGGCCTGTTCGCCTCGTTCGTGCCAGCTTCCTCGGGATTGAGAGGCGGGAATACGCCGTCGCAGATTATGCCGCATCTAGTGCATCAACTGAGCTTGCTGTTGTATACTCCGATACCAGCCGCTGAACTTAGTCGCGCGAAGAACCAGCTCAAGTCAAGTTTGATGATGGCTCTGGAAAGTCGGGCTGTCGGGGTTGAGGATCTAGGTAGACAGGTAAGTGATCGCGGTTCACCCCCGTGCCGTTGTACATATAACTGATCGCGTGCGGCCATAGATCCTGGTTCACAACCGTAAAGTCCCCGTATCCGAAATGACGGATAAAATCGACCTCCTCGGCGCGGAGGATATACGGCGCGTCGCTAATCGTATCTTTGGACCCAAGTCTGGAAATAAACCGACAGTCGTGTGCATGGGTCATGAGGATACTGGGGATTGGCAATCGGTGTTCAGGAAGTACAGCGTCGCTTCTTCATAAAGCATGCATGCTTCGTCTTCATAAATAGTGCTATCATATATACAAACCCTCCACTTATCTACAGCCCTGTGGTAATATTCAGGAGATGGCCTCGGATATTTTGTCTGACTTTTGATCTAAGCTCGAGTGATGCATCGCTGATGCAGATGATGTTCTTGCGACGAAAACAAGATGAGTGATATCCGTAAGTGTAAGTAAAAGATGATCATAAATAAATAAAGCCCAGCTTCCGGATCCGAAATCACGAAGAAAGATCCTGCAATCCGTTCGTGCTTTTCCGACGAAACTTCTCCGTCAGGCTCCGCGCGCGGCCGACTATGCGGCCACCCAGCGTCGACGAGTCCGACGACACGGGGCGCTGCATACTCGGGCCGGACACCACAGCACCCACGACGACGGGGTGCTCACCGCCCTCCGCGTCGTGCGCCTCCGCCGTCGCCTCCTCCACTGACACCCCGATCACGACGTTGGTGCTCGCCTCGGTGGACACGATCGTCGCGGATCGCGCCCGGCTGAGCTTCCGGGGAAGCAGGTTCCCTACGGCCTTGGAGATAGACATCGACTGGCGCCCGCCGACAATGTGCAGCTGCGTCACGCCGTGGTCTTCCTCCGTGTCGGCGTCCTCCCCCAGATGAGCGGAGCTGAACGAGTCGAAGCTGTGGTTCTGTTTTACAGTCACGCGATGTAAGAGGTTAGGTGGGTTCGTGTGCAAGGGAATGTCGGAGGGACGTACCAGTTGATCTTCGTAAAAACTTGGGATCATTGACAACCGATTCGGCGTCGGAGGGCCACTGCTCAGCAGCTCCGAAGGGCCTGCTACCGCAAGCTGTACATTTATGTCAAGCCCCGTTCGACGTCTCGCTGCAAGCACCCTTTGCTCACCTCTCCGAGCTTGGATATCGAGATACTTCCGCGCCGTCGTTCCTTGACGGATGGAGGGCCGTCGGCGGCACTTTTCTGGGCAGCGGCCAGCTCTTCTTGGGCGCGCCGCTCGGTTTCTGCTTCCACTCTCTGGAAAGCCTAGCACACCGCCGTCAAAACACCGAGAAAAACGAGTCGGAGGGCGTGCCTTACCTGTTCGAGCGGCTCAGGATACGACGGGTCCATTGGTTCTGGTGGTGGTAGTGGGGGAGGTGGTGGTGGAATGGGAAGAAGAAGAACGCGCTGGGAGGGCGACGCGATTACGTTTTGAGTGAGGCTGGGAGAGAAGAGTCGCTTAGAGGAGGCGCATGTTCTTCGTCGTTTATGTAGCGATTTTTGCCAGGCCTCTCATTGAGCAGGTCGCTGATCCCGTCAAGGGACTTGCTGACCTAATATACTACCCATCCTTAAAGCAGCACAAGGGCCCTGCATTGTTCAAGCTGCTTGTAAAGTCGTACAGTTATTTAATTGGATTCTCCGTGGAATACGGTAAATATGGCATGTCCTTCGTTAGAATAGTTAGTGCTAATTGAGCCAGCATGAATATGGATACAGTATCGAAAGCGTTTTAATCGATCGTGCCTTGTACTCGAGTGCGTCTTTATGTCCATTGCTTATTGTTGAATTGCTTTGAGTTTCGTCCATCGCGAATCGTTGCGGGTGCTGAGGTACACCATCGACCCAGGCTCACGATCCATCCACGCGCTCCGCTGACTCGGGATGAGGTTCGTAACCTGGAACCTCTGTCCAACGCGGAACGACCCCGCCTCTCCCCCCTCCGAAAACGTTAATTTCAGCACATCCCACGCAGTAAGCTGGGCAGTGCGATTCGCGGGCCGCCGGCGCGTGCAGGTATCCTGGACCTCCAGAACACGAAAATTGCGCACATTCCGCGGCGGGCAGATGCTCTGTTGATGCGTTGAATGCGTATCATTATTAATGATTGTAAGCAATGCATTCGGGATGATGGCGAGAAAGGGACAACTCACGTCAAGTTCGCGTTCCATCTCATCTGTGGCTGCCTCGCGCTCCTTCCCGATTCGCTCGCGTATAACACGAGCGAACCAACCAGCGTCGGAAGCTCTTACAGTAGACAGAGTCGCGCTCGCGGTGTTGGGATCCTCCAACGCATCATATAGGTTCTCGACATGATCTGATGGTCCATCTATAGCCGCAACGTACTCAGCACAAGCAACATTCACCTCAACGAGAGGACCTACCGTCTTCACCAGGCCGGAAATGAGGACCTGCCTTATACTCCATGCGTTCGGCGTACGACTCGTATCGAGAAAGCCTCTTCTCTAGTTCATCTCTCAGCTTCGAGGCTTCAACTTCCCTTCGTCTCTAAGAAGCGCGGCAAAACGTATGAGCACCAGGTGAAGACACCAGGAGGAGTAATAAATACCTTCCACTTCTCCACGACGGTGGCCTCTTGTGATTCCGTCCGTGGACCTTCGCGCCATTTCTCACCAGCATCGTTCTCCAGGAACTCGATATACGCGATGGGGTACATCTGCCTTCCGCTTCAACAAATGCAAGAAAGCGGCGGAAACGAGGAATGCTAACCTTAATCACAACAATATCCATGACAGAGATGACACCGCCGTCGTGGGTCAGACTGTTCAGCGTAGAGACGAAAGGCTCGCGCTGGAATCCCAACTTCGCGTGCCACGGGGCTAGATGCGACGAGTTCCCACTGAGGACCAGCTGCACAGAGTTGTATGCTTCGAGGACCTCCATAGGGTCTTTGCGTTCCGAAGATAGCTGAAAAAAGGAGAATGCAACATATATGTTAGCGGCAATAGATCGAGAGAGAGGCAGGCCTTTGACTAACCCGAGCACCAGCAACCGCTAGCTTTCTCCCGACACGGATGACACCAGCGCGTATAGCCCGGGCTAATGGCTCGTCAGCTCGCGCGCGAAGCCTATACCATCCATCTGTAACTTCGAGTTCAGGACACGGTTCTGCAGTCGTTCCATCTTCCTGGACGGCTGGCTCAGACCATGTAATGTTCGAGACGCACAACACCATCGGACACGACGCCGGGGCATCTTGTGTTGCGATTAAACGGAGAGGAGGCCGCGAGCCGCTGTTCAACTCCCTTTCATACCGATAGAGCAACTGTCTCATTACCTCCTTCCAGCACCACCGCTTCGTGGCTGGGTTCCCCTCCTTCTCGGGCTCAAGGGCGACCATGCCAGCAAGTTTCCAGAGGATGAGACACCAGTGGTTTTCGACCCATGGCTTAGTAGCAAGTGAGCATCCGCGCTCGAGGAGTTGGTCGAATGCGGCGCCGGGTCCAAGCATTGT